TATTATAAAACATTCTGATAATTATGAATCTCCATTAGAGAGCAATATTTAGTACCCATAACACTTTATACTGTCGAAGAATGTTCCAAATACAAGTTGCTCATGATCTCATGGGGCAGATGACTATTCTCATCTGTAATTTACAGGAGGAGAAGTAGTACAATGATGAAGCGGCCAAAGCTGTCTCATGTGGAGGACTGCAGAAACCTTGTAAATTCTGAATACCACATTGCCACTTCTGTTTTCAACAGCAGGGACAACAGCTCAAGACTTAGCAAGGAGAGGCTGGTGGGGAATGTGCAGCTCAACGGGAGCCTTGGCTGCAGCGACCATGAAATGGTGGAGTTCAAGATCCTTAGGGCAGCAAGGAGGGTGCACAGCAAGTTCCCTACCCTGGACTTCAGGAGAGCAGATTTAGGCCTCTTCAGGGATCTGCTTAGTAGAGTACCATGGGATAAGGCTCTGGAGGAAAGAGGGGCCCAAGAAAGCTGGTTAATATTCAAGGATCACCTCCTCCAAGCCCAGGGGTAATGTATCCCAACAAAGAGGAAGTCAGGCAGAAACGCCAGGATGCCTGCATGGATGAACAAGGAACTCCTGGACAAACTCAAACACAAAAAAGAAGCCTACAGAGGGTGGAAGCAGGAACAGGTAGCCTGGAAGGAATACAGAAAAATTGTCTGAGCAGCCAGGAATCAGGTTAGAAAAGCTAAAGCCCTGCTAGAATTAAACCTGGCCAGGGACATAAAGGGCAACAAGAAAAGTTTCTACAGGTATGTCAGTGACAACATGAGGATCAGGGAAAACGTGGGCCCTCTCCGGAAGGAAACAGGAGACCTGGTTACCTGGGATATGGAGAAGGCTGAGGTACTCAACAACTTTTTTGCCTCAGTCTTCACCAGCAAGTGCTCTAGCTGCTCTGCCCAAGTCACACAAGGCAAAGGCAGGGACTGGGAGAATGGAGAACCACCCACTATAGAAGATCAGCTTTGAGATCATCTAAGGAACCTGAAGGTACACAAGTCCATGGGACTTGATGAGGTACATCTGTGGGTCCTGAGGGAATCAGCGGATGAAGTAGCTAAGCCACTATCCATCATATTTGAGAAGTTGTGGCAGTCCAGTGAAGTTCCCACCAACTGGAAAAAGGGAAATATAGCTCCCATCTTTAAAAAGGGAAAAAAGGAAGACCCAGGGAACTACAGGCCAGACAGTCTCACCTCTGTGCCCAGCAAAATCATGGGGCAGATCCTGGTAGAAACTGTGCTACGGCACATGGAAAATAAGGAGGTGATTGGTGACAGCCAACATGGCTTCACTAAGGGCAAATCCTGCCTGACAAATTTGGTGGCCTTCTATGATGAGGTTACAGTGCTGGTGGATAAGGGAAGAGCAACTGACATCGTCCACCTGGACTTGTCCAAAGCTTTTGACACTGTCCTACACAACATCCTTTTCTCTAAACTGGAAAGACATGGTTTTGATGGATGGACCACTTGGTGGATAAGGAATTGGCTGGATGGTCGCACTCAAAGAGTTGCAGTCAACAGCTCAATGTCCAAGTAGAGGCCTGTGATGAGTGGTGTTCCTCAGGGGTCAGTACTGGGGCCAGCGCTATTTAACATCTTTGTCGGCAACATGGACAGTGGGATCGAGTGCACCCTCAGCAAGTTTGCAGATGACACCAAGCTGTGTGGTGTTGTGGACACGCTGGAGGGAAGGGATGCCATCCAGAGAGGCTGGAGAGGTGGGCCTGTGAGAATCTCATGAAGTTCAACAAGGCCAAGTGCAAGGTCCTACGCATGGGTCGGGACAATACCAATCACAGATAAAGGCTGGGCGGAGAGTGGATTGAGAGCAGCCCTGAGAAGGACTTGGGGGCGTTGGTTAACAAGAAGCTCAAAATGAGCCAGCAATGTGCACTTGCAGCCCAGAAAGCCAACTGTATCCTGGGCTGCATCCAAAGAAGTGTGGCCAGCAGGTCGAGGGAGGTGATTCTGCCCCTCTGCTCAGCTCTCGTGAGACCCCACCTGGAATACTGCGTTCAGCTCTGGAGGCCCCAACAAAGAAGGACATGGGAGCTGCTGAAGCAAGTCCAGAAGAGGGCCAAGAAGATGATCCGAGGGCTGGAGCACCTCTCCTATGAAGACAGGCTGAGAGAGTTGGGGTTGTTCAGCCTGGAAAAAGGATGGTGCCAGGGAGACCACCGGCACCTGCCTGCCACACTTTGTTCCTCAGGCCCAAAACGGAATGGGTTGCTATAAAGTACTTTCAGTACTTAAAGGTGACCTACAAGAAAGCTGGAGAGGGACTTTTTACAAGGGCGTGTAGTGACAGGACAAGGGGTAATGGCTTTAAACTGAAAAAGGGGAGATTTTGATTAGATCCAAGGAAGGAATTCTTCACTATGACAGTGGTGAGGCACTGGAACAGGTTGCCCAGAGAAGTTGTAGATGCCCCATCCCTGGAAGCGTTCAAGGACAGGCTGGATGAGGATTTGAGCAACCTGATCTAGTGGAAGGTGTCTCTGCCCATGGCAGGGGGGTTGGAACTAGATGATGTTTAAGGTTCCTTCCAACCCAAACCATTTTATGAAGATATATTTTCTTGACATACTGTCTTGGGTTGTAATAACACATGTATTTAAGCTGAAACAATCTAACTCTTGATGAAAAAAACCAAACTTATCCACTGTGTTCTCATTCCCTTCTTCCCTTAGGACTGGGAGTCATCTTAGGGATGGCAGGGTAGAAGCAGGTTGGTTTTGTTGTGGCTTAGTTTTCCAGTCCAGCTCTCCATGTGGCTGTGCAAAAGTAAAGGCTTGCATAAGGAAAGAAGTGGCCAGACATAGTGAGAGTAAGCAGGCAGAGACAGGCAACACTTGTTTATGACAATTTAAAGTGTACATGAAATTAAGGGCTTTGCACACAGACTCTGCAGCGGTGAATGTGCAAATCAGTCTCTCTTCAGGCTGTCAGCTTTAGTTAACGTCTTCTGAGCAATGGGTCTAAATTATGTACAGAGCATTTGTAAGAAAACTCTAAACTAGTGCTGGGCAGCAACTTCTGGCAACATGCTCAGTTTTACCAATTTTCCAGCTCCCTGTCAAAAGCAGCTTTGCAGCCCCCAGCCTTGAAGAGCTTAGTTCAGAGTCCTGTCTGCAGAACACCCCCAGGAAGACTCTTCCTTTGACTAAGAGTCTGCCACCTCTGCCTTTCCAAACTGCTTACGCACCCGCTGCTGCCAGGGCTTCTGGAGAACAGGAGCTGTTTCTATGCTGAAAAATTACATATGCTGAATCAGTTAAATAAGCCTGGTAGCAGGGCAGCTGGGGTATGTCACACTTCAGTGAAGAGCTCAATCACTTGAAGCAGTTTTCTGAGAGAAAAGGAACAATAGCATCTGGGCCAATCTGCCTGGCCTGTAGCTCTTCTTAAAGAGAAAAGCCAGATGTTTTTAACCTGAGGGA